GTCCGTCCGTCCGTCTGTCTGTCTGTCCGTCTGTCACACTTTTCTTCCCTGAACTCCTCCCACATTTTACACAGTAGCCTAATCATCTTTTGGGAGATGGTTGGTGGTGTCATGTAGATGTGCGGTAAGGTTTTGGAATCTTGATTTTGCCCCGGGGGGGTCAAATGGGGGTCAAAATATGACGTTTTTTATGCAAAAAGCCTGGTCTTCCCTGAACTCTCCTACATTTTACACAGTAGCCTAATCATCTTTTGGGAGATGGTTGGTGGTGTCATGTAGATGTGCAGTAAGGTTTTGGAATGTAGATTTTGCCCTGGGGGTCAAATGGGGGTCAAAATATGACGTTTTTTATGCAAAAAGCCTCGGCTTTCCTAAACTCCTCCTACATTTTACTCAGTAGCCTAATCATCTTATGGGAGATGGTTGCTGGTGTCATGTAGATGTTCAGTAAGGTTTCGGAATTTTAATTTTGCCCCGGGGGGTCAAATGGGGGTCAAAAAATGATGTTTTTATGGACAAAGCCCCGTCTTGCCTGAACTCCTCCTACATTTCACCTACTAACATAATCATCTTTTGGGAGATGGTTGGTTGTGTCATATACATGTGCAGTAAGGTTTCGGAATTTTAATTTTGCCCCAGGGGGTCAAATTGGGGTCAAAAAATGACATTATTTTATGCAAAATGTCCCGTTTTCCCTGAACTCCTCCTACATTTTACTCAGTAGCCTAATCATCTTTTGGGAGATGGTTGGTGGTGTCATGTAGATGTGCAGTAGGGTTGCAGAACTTTGATTTTGCCTCGGGGGGTCAAATGGGGGTTGAAAAATGACATTTTTTATGCAAATAGCCCCATCTTTCCTGAACTCCTCCTACATTTTACACAATAGCTTAATCATCTTTTGGGAGAAGGTTGGTGGTGTCATGTAGATGTGCAGTAAGGTTTCGGAATTTTGATTTTGCACTGGGGGGTCAAATGGGGGTCGAAAAATTATGTTTTTTTATGCAAAAATCCTCGGCTTCCCTAAACTCTTCCTACATTTTACTCAGTAGCCTAATCATCTTATGGGAGATGGTTGCTGGTGTCATGTAGATGTGCAGTAAGGTTTTGGAATTTTAATTTTGCCCCGGGGGGTCAAATGGGGGTCAAAAAATGATGTTTTTATGGAAAAAGCCCCGTCTTCCATGAACTCCTCCTACTTTTCACCTACTAGCCTAATCATCTTTTGGGAGATGGTTGGTTGTGTCACGTAGATGTGCAGTAAGGTTTCGGAATTTTAATTTTGCCCCAGGGGGTCAAATGGGGGTCAAAAAATGACATTATTTTATGCAAAATGCCCGTTTTCCCTGAACTCCTCCTACATTTTACTCAGTAGCCTAATCATCTTTTGGGAGATGGTTGGTGGTATCATGTAGATGTGCAGTAAGTTGTCGAAATTTTGATTTTGCCCCGGGGGGTCAAATGGGAGTCGAAAAATGACGTTTTTATGCAAAAAGCCCCGTCTTCCATGAACTCCTCCTACTTTTCACCTACTAGCCTAATCATCTTTTGGGAGATGGTTGGTTGTGTCACGTAGATGTGCAGTAAGGTTTCGGAATTTTAATTTTGCCCCAGGGGGTCAAATGGGGGTCAAAAAATGACAATATTTTATGCAAAATGCCCGTTTTCCCTGAACTCCTCCTACATTTTACTCAGTAGCCTAATCATCTTTTGGGAGATGGTTGGTGGTATCATGTAGATGTGCAGTAAGTTTCGAAATTTTGATTTTGCCCTGGGGGGTCAAATGGGGGTCGAAAAATTATGTTTTTTATGCAAAAAGCCTGGTCTTCCCTGAACTCCTCCTACATTTTAAACAGAAGCCTAATCATCTTTTAGGAGAGTTAAATATTTTAAAAATTTGGTAAAACCTCAACGTCAAGGGGTTAAAAAGCATCGTATGCTGGGAAACATCTTGAATTCTTATGAGTAATTAATGTGCATGTCAAATGTGAAATTCATATTTCTTCTCAATCAAAAGTTATAATTAAATACAGCATTTTTGAAAAGTAGGTTAGGCTTTAAGGTCAAGGTCACAGAGTCAAAAGTCATGATTTATTTGGAAAGGCTTATCACAGGTAATTATATGCATGCAAGTATAATATGAATGCCTTAACTTCTCCCTTTCAACATGTTCACAATGATGAATTGAAAACAATGTAATTTTTTTGCAAGAAGCTCAAACTTCTAGGTCAAGTAAAAAAAATCATGCCATTATCACAGGTAAATACTGATACATATCTTTAATATGAATGCCTTGTCTCTTCTCATTCAATAGATATGACCTCGATGACCAAGGTTAAATTTACTGAGACAGATGGACAGACTGATATACAAATGTACATATTTCTTTGTGAATTGGGTAAAATTGGCCCATTGGTTCTACAGAAGTTAAAAATGTAAAAAGTTTTCAGACAAACAGAATGGACCACAAGCGATATATATAAGGAAACCAGAAAAGCTCAAATGAGTGGGGGGGGGGGGGGGCATTAGTAAATTTAAAAAGGTCCTATTATGAGCAAAACATTTATCAGAATCTAATTAAAATCATTAATTAAATTCAAACTGGTAATGAGGATCTGAGTCATATAGGTTACATGGTCACAGGGTCTGAGAATTTCATACTCAATTTGACGAATACCTGCTCAGTGTAAATTATAGAATTATTTTGACTTTTTACTTGGAATTAAATCCCTATATGTAGGAGTGTGTTTTTAGAGGTAAACACCTTTGTGCGGGTATTACTGTCTCATGACAGCATCTAGTTATCGTTTTGTTAAATATTAAGATCAATATTTTTTTCACACAAGAGCTCCCGTATATTTTCGTGGTGTAAAAGTAATCCGTCAACTGTAACTAAAAGTCAGTGTCTTCGCAAAAGTCCAATATATTTTCAAACATCGAAACAAGTCTATTTTCATTATTTTGACTCTGCAAAAATCTCCGCTAGGGTCCCCGTGTGTTTACACGTTTGTTTATTCATAACCCAGACCAGCAGCAATAGCTTGTGGCTATATATATCCACAGTCTAAAAAGGAAACTAAAATGTCATTGAAGAGATTTTATTTCCGTTTTGAAATACACTCAGCATATTTTGGGGTGTTTTATGCAGGTAGCTTGATATTGTGGCCATTTACTTGTTAAATTTTATAGTGATTTATAAAGGACAAGCTTAACAAGCTTATTGGGGCCGGCTTTTGTGTAAAAAAAACCTGATCAAAGATTGTTACTAATCCATATAGAAATGTTAATGGTGAAAGGTACGATTACAATGTATATTATTTTTTAAGATTTTAATTTTTTTCATTTGTTTGTGGTTTCATTAAGAAAGAGCCCATTATGTAAGCATCCAAAGACCTGAGCACAAATTAATTTCTGACAAAGAATTCAAACAGAAGATAGTTGAAGCAATGACATTATTTTTAAAACCTTGCCTTTTCCCCATGGATTCCTAGTTACCTTAAAGCCTGTCCTTTTCTGAGATAAATGTGATTGTTTAGAGAGATCATATATATCACACATGTATATGTATTTAATATTTACAGATATGAAATAAAGTAGAGGAATATTAAATATGGGTTTATTGTTAAAAATGTTAATACATGTAGCTTACTCAGAGGGATATTAAAAAGGATGATTCTTCAAATTGGCATATGTTTTTCTATAATGTGGTTCTTTATGATAGAGATAAGAAGTTAATATTATTTTCATATATTATATTGATTTTTATAATAATTAATTCCTTTGATTGAGCACATAAAAGTATAGAAGTGTGGATAAACTAGGTCTTTTCAAATATATGAACTTACATTGATCAAGGCAGGGACTTATATACTACTTTCAGTATTCAATTCAAGTTCATATATACAATATTATTTGAGATTCTTAAAACGATGTTTGCCGGGTAAAAGTGTTTCCAATGCGACTTCATGCTTAACTAGAACTACACTTGATTAGTATCTTCTAAGCAAAATTCAAATTAGAAATATTTCAACCTAAAAGTAGATTTAATATTCTTTAATTTGAGTTCTTAAATAATTATACATGTACATATTTCACACTTACTTTTACAGCCTTTGTATTTTATGCTTCCACCGTCTCAGCGGCGTAGCCGGGGTACTTTTGATGTGGACGCCCGATTAGGCAGGGGTACGGGTGTCAACTTTAAGTCCCCCATGGGCCCAGGACAAAGCCCTTGTTGGACTCGAGGGGGCTTTGCCCACGGAAGCTACTAAATTTTCGACGATTTGATGTGCATATTCGACCCTCCCGGTCGCATATTTTCTTAAATTTTTGTTTGTTACGCGGCCATATTCGAGGTCTGTTCTGTTTTTACTAAACAATGCGGACAAACACTCAAAAATGAGAAAGAATCTGTCATGTATCGTTGAATGATGAACCCAATAAAAACAAATTTTGACTTTTGAAAAGATGAAATACGTACATGTATATGGTAAAATAGTCGGTAAAAGAGGTAAAATGTAATTTGCACTTTGTAAGTAAAACTCAGCAATAATCAATATTAAACCAATTTCTGGGAAAATATTATTTTCACCTAAAACTGATTCTTTTAATTTTCAATTATTTTTAGGGTTTTTTTCTAGATTCCAAGTAATTTTTGTCATTTTTAAAAATTTTTATTTATCGAAAACTGATGAGTAAGCTTTAGGAGCATACAAGCATACATGGAAATTACGCCTGTCACTTTCTCCTTTTTTTCCAAAAACCATGTGGACGTTTTTGCGTACTTGTAAACGTACGCCTGGCTAAGCGCCTGGTCGTACCTTCGCCCTAAAAGTGCAATTTAAGGCGCTATGCGAGTGGCTCTAAGGGAACACCATACCAGGTAGACGAAGCTTGTAAAAATCGAAAATGTCGGAAAAGTCTGAAAACGAAGGTCCATCTAAACCTCTATATTTTCAAGAGGATCCTGGCATAACAGACTTGATTTTATTTTTGCAAAGAAATTCACCTGACAAAAGTCATTCTCATGCGATCCTCTCCTGTTTTCCGTGCCATGTTTACTTCTGACTTCAAAGAGTACAATACCATTCCCGGAGAAAAAATATGAAGATTTTGTTTTGTTTCTGCGAAGTTTTTATCCAGGAGAGCATTTAGAGCTAAATGGTTTGTATTTGAAAAAAAAATTGAATGAAATGTTTGTTGTACATGTTGTTTTAAGCAGTTTAAGATGTTTAAGACGATACAAAGAAAGAGTGCACTAAACATGTTTAATATGTACGGTGGCTTGTATAGGACATGGTATGAGATTTTTTTTTTATTAATTTGAGGCCATGAAATAAAATTTCTGATTGCAAACAACTCTGCCCCTTCAGGAGTACCATTCCTTGTGATGTTGATATTTACAGGCTGTTCTGCAGTATAATGAATGAAAATAAATTTTTATTTCTAAATTCTTTAGATGAAGGATTCTTCTGTTTTAACCATTCATGTAAATTAGTTCAATCTGATTGGTCGAGAAACGTTTGTTAAAAAACACTATTACCCGCTGAATAATGAAGCCACACCCTTCAGCGTAGCAACAGTCAACATTGCTTGACGAAGGGTGATATTCCAAAAAAATAGCGACTGCGCAGAATTTATGCGCAGCCGAGGTTGACAATGGTTTTCTTGGGGTGAAAATTTTCAATGTTACACTCAACTACTTGCAATATTTATTATGATATATTGAATGTTTTATACAAATACATATAATATATATAACAGTGAACCGTGCGAGCATAAATTCTGTGCAGTTTTTTTCTTTAATATAACCCGTCGTCAAGCAATGTTGACTGTTGCTACGCTGGAGGGCGTGGCTTCATTATTCAGCGGGTAATAGTGATTTTTAACAAATGTTTCTCGACATATCAGATTCAACTAATGTACATGAAAGTATACTATATTCACATATTTCACTTTCTTTAAAAATTATTTGCACCATTTGTACACTCCCTCTATTTATACTTTAGTCCTCTATCATGTCTTTCGAAATTATTTGAACAGTACCATAGGACAAACTTAAAGTTTTCATATCGCTCTCTTTTTTGACAAAAGTAAGAAACCATTGAACGTTTCTGCCCGACCTCCTATCGTTCGGGCTTCCTATCCTCTGCAGATCATTCAATGACCCATGACTACCCAAAATCGCTGAAACCATTTATAAACAAGTCTCTAAGGGCATTTTCCCGATTTTGAAGGGAAAAAAGTCATTTAATTTTTAACTAAAGACTAGAAAATGTCTTAATTTTTGTCTTTTAAAATATTGGGCAATTGAACACTTTATAAGATGCTTTTAAATGTGTTTGTCTTTTCTTCAATCTAACAATATACACTTTAAAACTTGACGTTTAGTTGTGACGCAGGGACACCCCCTACGTTTAACATGTTTAATGTTTTAAACGTCTATGAAATGAATTCAATTAAACATTATGAAATGAAATTTTTAATTTTGATTAGATTTATTTTTATGCATCTTTTGTACATAATATTTGATAATGTGATGCCAAATATTACTGATATGAACACGCTGACATTACTTTTGGATCAACCCTCGTAATGGTCATCCTTATTAAACACTGATAAGACAATTTCAGTCTTTAAGTTATCATCTGGGTCTTTCTGTCAGAAGTGGGAATTATTTTTCTACCTGTCGGAAAGGCTGTGGTTGATGATTAGTCATTTGGCATCATTCTTAAAATAATTTCACCGTAAAACCTTAGAAATACCTTAGCCCCCTTTATTTGTCTTTTAACAGATATCATGAGTAATGCTACTTATATTTTTTTCTAGTTTCAGTAATAGAAAGCATCCTTCCTTTGGCAAGAGAATATGCCATTGATGCCGTGATGAAAAACTGCCATGAGTGGTTACTAGTAGATATTAAAACTCGAACAGAAGATGTTCACTACCATACGAAATGCTTCTATCTCGCTGCAGTGTACAATTTTGATGAACTCTACAACAAAATGCTTGAAAAACTGAGAACCGCTGCTGTCAATACCTATGAAAATGCACCTAGTTTCAAAATGCTTCCATCAGAAGACAAGGCCAGTTTACTTAAAAAACGCTGTGAAGATGTTGAAAAAAATGATGCAAACCTCGAAAAGCAAATTTCAAACATTAAAAAAAAACATAAATAAATGTACAATTACGTGTATAAAATGTGGCTACCCAACCAACATACGCGAAGGAGACAAAAATAGACTTTTGTATCAAAACCCTTATCCCTAGCCATCTACGGGAAGATACCGAGTATTTTTTTTTTAAAAGTTGGTGAAAAAGACGGACGGGCAGTTGCTAAAAGGGGCCCCCTTTAATAATCTGGATAACTCCTCCTACATGAACCTTTTTGCTTTGTCGAACAATTGCACATATTTCAGAGATGTGCATATTAATAGGATTTTAACTTTTTAAAATTAAGTTTTGAGAAAAATACCAGATTTTTTAAATGCTTTATTTTTGAAAATTTTCATAAATACAAACAAAAACACACACAAACACACCCTCACACACCACACGCACCCTGTGCACCTTTCCCAAAATACCAGCTTTCATAATTAAACATCTTAAGTGATCAATGGAATTTTTTATGCATGACAAATCAAATCAAACATTGCCCATTTACAATACATTTTTGTTTTACCATGAAAATTGCTATAACAAAATTTTTCAATTTTCCTGTAATACTTAAAAATGTTAATTCTTCTGTAAATTTAGGTATAGCACATTGAGTTATTGAGCAATACAAGTACTTTTTTCCTAACAAGATGAGAAAATTTATTCCGAATTCTTTCCACCCACTTTATCATTGCACTAAAGTCCCTCTTTCCTCTTTGGTATCTCTACAACCCCCTCCTTCTTTCTTCTCTCTTGCTCTCCCATACCCTTCCTTTCTTTTTTCTCTATACCCTCTGCATTCTTCTTATTTTTTATATAATTATTATTGTATATTTGTTGTTTGTACATCACGTGTATAAATTTTGTTACTTTGTTTGTGTTGGAGAGGACAATCTACGTTGGCATAACTTGTGTCCAATTTATTAGGATCAATAACATATGTTTAAAACAAATCAGATACGGATTTACATTCATTTTAGATGTAATATATTAACTTTTTTCTGGCTTTTTAACATTATATATGAATCAAACTTTTTTATCTCTGTTTAGAGAAGACAAAATGTAGATTCTCGGAATAAAAGATTCTGGACTTTTAATTGTACAGTTACGGATGATTGATTGTTTTCTACATAGCAGCATATGTTTGATTGAGAAAAAATAATCAGTTAAACATCTCTTAACTTCAATGTGTGATTCTTGGATTCACAAAAGAATTGTCAAGATGTCAAAGACTAAATTTAATTGTCATAAATTGTGATGAGTCAAAAATAATTTGGTGTTATTGTTCTCGAATAGCCAAACAAACACTTTTGAAAAAGATGTCTGAAAGAATTGGCATTTTAAGAAGAATAAGATATTTCATGTCAAAAGATGCGCAGTTTAAAGATTATATTGCTATGAATTATTCGTTATGTTACATATTGTGGAGCTATCTGTATATAGAGCTATATAAAATTCAAGATATATTAGAATATGTGTCTCTATCAGATTAATTTTTTTATAAAATTATTTTATAAATAATTACATGAGTTAATCATAATGCCAGATTATTTATATTTGGCCTTACACATCAATCAATATGAGAGGATGACTTGTGTATGTGATAAGTATACAGAGTGCTGTATTGTTCCCTTGAGATGTTGCTTTTTGCTAAAGTTGTTTTAATTGTGAGATATATCTTGATTTTATTATTTTATGTGTGGTTTCAGTGTAAGCTCCTGTGGTTTTCATAGCATTTATTAATAAAACAACAAAATTATGTACTAGTCCATGATAAAAAGTAGACAAAAATGTCATTGAAGAGAATTTCATCTCTGTTTTTGAAATAAACTCAGCATATTTTGGTTTTTGTGAAGCAGGTAGCTTTATATTGTGACCATTTACTTGTTGAATTTTACAGTGATATATAAAGGACAAGCTTAATAAGCTTACTGTGGCCGGCTTTTGTGTAGAAAGACTGATCAAAGATTGTTACTAATCCATATAGAAATGTTAATGGTGAAAGGTACAAGTATATTATTTTTTAAGATTTTAAAAATGGAATATTTTATGTATTTTTGCTCTGTGGAAATTCATTCAATCCTTTTTTCTTTTGTTTGTGGTTTCATTAAGAAAGAGTCCAGTCTGTAAACATCTAATGACCTGAGCACAAATTAATATCTGACAAAGAATTCAAACAGTAATCAGTTGAATCAATGACAGTAGTTATAAAACCTTGCCTTTTCCACATGGATTCCTAGTTACCTTAAAGCCTGTCCTTTCTGAGATAAATGTGATTGTTTTGAGAGATCATATATATCACACATGTATATGTATTTATTATTTACAGATATGAAATAAAGTAGAGGAATATTAAATATGGGTGTATTTTTTTGTACAAGAGTTATCGAATGTTAATATATGTGGCTTACTCAGAGGGGTATAAGAAAGTATGATCCTTCAAATTAGCATGTAATGTTTTCTATAATGTATTCTTTATGATAGAGATAAGAAGTTAATATTATTTGAGGAATAAATTTAATAGCTACCCATTTTATACGGTATAAACTGGGTTGGGGCAGTTTACGCTTTATAAACCGTGAAGCGGTTTATAAAAAAGCGTAAATTGTTTCAACCCAGTTTATACCGTATAAAATGGGTAGCTATTAAATTCATTGCTTATACAGTCAAACCTTCCAACGGAGAAAGGAAAAAAGGTCACATATGACAGGTGGTCTCTTAATACAGGTTGCTTATTTAAAGTTATTTATTAAATTTATAAAGTAAATTTTTTATCCAATCAAATACAGCGTTACAACCAGAATTAAATTATTTTCATATATTATATTGAGTTTTATGATAATAAGTTCCTTTGATTGAGCCTGTAAAAAGTATGATAAACTGAGTCTTTCTAAATATATGAACTTAAATTGATCAAGGCAGGGACCTATATACTACTTATGCCCTGTTCTTACGACGAGTTTAAATCGCAGTAAATTAATGCGAAGTAAACTAATGCGAATCAAAATAATGCGAATTAAATTGCGTTCACACGAAAGCTAATGCGAAGTAAACTAATACAAATTAAAATTCTACTTCTAGGGCCATACGTCAGTTAGGCTATTATGATGTCATTTGCAAATCACGCCACCTTATGCAGGATAGATGCATTTGACATACTGTTACAGTGTCTGTACACACATTTTAATGATTAACACAATTTTCCTTAGTTTTTACTCAAAAATGGCACAAATACTTCAAGCTGACCACGGACATGTGGCATTTGACCTAATTTTGCCATTACGCATGCCTAAAAATTTTCTTCGAATTAGCTTCGCTTAGCGTTCACACGGAGCTAATGCGAAGTAATTTAATGCGCAGTAAACTAATTCAAATTAAACTAATTCGCATTAAATTTTCTGTGTGAACGCTAAGCGAAGCTAATTCGCAGTAAACTTACGTTGAATTCGAATTAAACTCTCCGTGTGAACAGGGCATTACTTCGCATTAATTTACTGCAAATTAAACTCACCGTGTGAACAGGGCATTATAAATACATACTAGTAGGTTCCTGATATACATGTATCTATGGATCCTTTTCATAAATGTCTATATTTGTACAAGTACATAAGTGACTGAGAAATCAGTAAAGTCTACTATCTTTACAAATTAAAAAAAACAGTTCAATGTTATGTAATACATGTATTAATTAATTTTGCTAGGCAGTTTTAAAACGTATGAAATATATTGAAATAAATTTTAAGATTCAAGGAACAGTATTTGATCAAAAAAGTCTATTCTAACAATATTAATCAAGAGCAGAGCAAACACGGACCACCAAAGCATCAGAGGTGGGATCTGGTGTAATGGAGAAGTGAGCACCCCCTGCTACAGGTCAAACCCGCCGTGTGCTCCTTATGGCGAAAAATAACGAAAAAATCAAACGACATTTCATTGTATAAATATTAATGGTCTAGCAATTAGTATGGAAAAGGCTTGTCAGTATTTAACGTAACAGATTATATTTGCTGACAGGTCATTTTATCGAGCATAGAACTTACGAAATAATTACTTTAAAAGAGACTGATATTGATATGCATATTTCATCAACTTGAAATTGTTCATGCGTAGAGCATGCTCTTATCAGCTGAGAGATACAAACCGTGTATATTCATGTGATAAGTTGACGAATACAATCGTAAAGTGTTGTTATACATATACTTATAGCTTTGTGTCGACATATGAATGGAAATAACTCTATTGCAGAAAATAGAAAAATACTTTAGACACTCATGTGCAAGGTAATATAAAAATTGTGATTATAGGCTTAAAAAAATCTGTATTTTCCCGAATCCTTTATAACTATTAGATAAATTGATTTAATTATTTTGAGGATGAAATGTTAATAGTATTAAATTGAACAAAACCTATTTTCCAATTTTTTTTCTTTTGTTAAATATCTTATTTGATATATATACATGTACAAAGGGTTGAAATTTTAAAGTCTATTTTCAGAGCTTTTCCAGAAGTTTTAGCGCTATATTACCACCACTTTTAGTCTATTTTTAACTATGATCCACTTGATGCATGTATGCGCAAAGTAGTGCGTGTAATGTTTGCTTTATATTTGGAAACCGTCAAATTCTTTTAACATTATATCTAAACAATCAAGCACAGCATGAAGTACATTGTTACATACGCGCTTTCACTGAGCGTGATCAATCTACTAAAAGGAGCTAATTTCCAAGCCCTTTTTTCAAACGATGGCCGCAAAGTAGAAGACACAGAGAGATTGCGACAGGAAGTAACGAGACTGAAGACTGAAATAAATGAATTAAAAAGTAACCATCCTCTTGGTAAGTCTAACAAATTTAACATATTTTGAAAAATAGTTTTCTTCTATTTCCAATTATTGATGTATCACCTGACCCCACCTACCTTTTGCATTGTCAGGGATCCATATTTTATGCCGTCTTTGGCTTGTAGATTTTTTTTTAGATTTGTAGCTTATTTAATTGATATCTTTTTCTTTAATTATATCGTCACAAAATATATAGGCACTCCATATCGATATGAAAATATTTTTTAAAATTACAATGTGGTTATGTTTTTACCGATTTCGATGTCAAATGCATAAAAGTTAGACTAAAATAAACAGAAAGTATA